ATCTGGATAAAAAAGCTTTTAAATTCTTCACCCCAACGGCATGCTATTATTCAGAAAAGGACTTGGAACAAAGAAGTTTTATCTCTGCAGGAATTCAAATCTTTAATAAATGAAAGATAAAAAAAAAAAAAAAAATCACAACTGGATGCTGGTACAGCACTTTGTAAACTACTCATCTTGTCTGTAAAGTATTTCTTCTATGGGTAAGATTTATACTTGTATAATCCCCTAACAAACATTTCAATAGTTTATTGTTTTTATTCCATATTTCTTCTAGCTCATGAGATATTAAAGAAGAATCTGATCAGTGATCAGTTTCCTGTAACCAATGAAAGATTTTATGTATACATTATTGATAATGTTATTGTTTTCAGATTTCAAGTACCTGTTGCTCTGACTGTCATTCAGGTATTTAATGCTGCATTTCAAAGCTATCTGATCATGCTAAGGTATCTTATGTTTCTTTTTGAAGTTAATATTTACTTCATATACTACATATGTGTAAGTATTACGTTGTAAATGTACCATATATTATGAAATACATCACCAAATCATCCTAGCAGGTTTGTTATTTTCATCTCCGGATATCTCGCAAGGAAATATCATTAAGTTCTTATTAGGGGTAATATTAGCTACATCCACTGCAAATGTTTCATGTAATTATTAGAGCCAAATTAAATCAAAGGGCCACCAAAAGCCATTATAGCTTTAGAAAAGTGTTAATGTTTCATTCTGGGAACGCCTTTTCTTCCAGCTCCAAAGAGGTGATCCGTTTATTTTCACCTGTGGTAGAACTGCTGATGAGGCCAGGTGGTCTTCCAGCCCCGGTCCTTCACTGCTAGCGCCAGCTGCTCCAGGTTCCGCGGGTTTCTGTTCACAAAGGTCGGGCTCACGGCTTCGTTCTCATCCAGGGTGGGTTCGGGCTGAGCCGAAGCCTGACTCAAACACCGAGCTAATTAAAAAAAAGCCCAACCTAGTTACAAACAGCGACTCAGTAACAACAACATTAATTATTTGTATGTTGTTTTTTTTATTTTCTATTTTGCTGTTGTTTTGTAACTCACCTGAGTGCTTTGAAGCCAAACCTACACCACCCCGGTGAATTTGACCCAACAGCCGAACAAAACCGCTGATTTCCTTCAGAGCCATCTCTATTTAGCTTTCTGCCACTTATAGAATTGAAGACAGTCTATTATATCACATCCAAGAACACTTTGTGTCCTCAGACAGTTTAAAACTAACGCATTTCTAACAAAACTTATAAGGTTTCACCGTGTCAAGGAGAGCGCCATCTTTGACACCCCAACGACATCCGGTTCACTCGAGTCGGTGTTACTTTGAAAGAAGCACGGACAGAAACAGGCGCTTGTATTTTACAAGGCATTTCAAACTAATGATACTGTGGGAAGAGCACAAATAAAATATTTGTTGTTTTAAATAATAATGCTAAATATAAACATAATAAATGTGTATAGGACAGCATTCTAGTTCATGGCTTTCCACTGTTTTAGCTTCTGAAAGATAGTAATAGGAATAGGTGTTCTTCAGATGAATCTCACTTCTTTTACCTAGATTTAAATATATACATCAGGGATTAAAGCAAAAAAAAGAAAATCCTGAGCCTGAATTTTTTCGACACAGGTGATATATATATATATATAAAACCCTGTCCCACATAATGATGCTGCCACCATGTAGTGGCTTTTCTTCATCATTCATGGGGAGATTTACAAAGCTCGTTTTACTCAAGGAGAATCTGTTTGACGTTTACCTTCCAGGCAATGACTACAAGTGAGTTCGATTAAGGAGTGTTTGTTGATGGCCTAGTCAAAGCTCACACCCAAATCCAACTGAAAACATGTCAGGACATGAAAATAGCCGTTTACAGGAAACGTCTCAAAATTCAACCTGACTTAATGTGAGCTGTTGTGCTGTAGGCATGGCCAAAAAGTTTCAGCTGCCAGATGTGCAGTGCTGATAGTAACCTATGCCCAAAAGATCTGCAGTTTTGAGCACAAAAAAAAAAAAAAAAGATGAGAAAAAGGTTAGAATTTTTAAGGGGTGTTGGGTGAAGTTGGTTAGAATTCCACCCCCACCACTTTCTTTGACAAATACAGAGCTTAAATTTCAACACCAATTTATTTAGAGTTTATTGTTAAAAGTTTTTTATTAAAGTCTTCAATAATTACTATGCAAACCTGTCATTATGATAGAGTAAACATTCCTCATAAAGAGTTTGGCAACAAGTCCACATGTATAAAAACCAAGCTTCACATAGTAGTAATCAGGAACAACACTTTATTTAATTTCCAATTTGATTAAATGCAATCAGTTAAATTGAAAAAAAAAAACAAAAAAAAAAAACATGCCAACAGAAAGGCTTGAAGTGGCATAAGAACAGCAGTAAAGATTTAAACATACCGGCTTCGTTAAGGCACTAGAAAAACATGTTGGGACATGATCATGAAGGAAAGTCTTTGGCTTTTAAATATCATTCAGACTAAATTACCAAACGAACAAGACCAAGTCAACCCTGTCGAATTCCCCTTTACTGCAAAAAGATTCATCAGCACAAGGTCTTTCCCTTTTCAGAATTCATGTTTTCAAAAAATCACACAGAAAAAAGTTACATAACATTTTGAACTTGCATATAAAAAACCCCCCCCAAAAAACTATGTTGTATTACAGTTTAAAAATACCAAAAAGGGAATAGAGGTGTAGTTTTCATATAATGGGTTCATAATTAAGCAAGTGGTTGTACCTTTCTGTTGATATAAAAATAACAGTCTTCATTTTTCATCCTGATTATTGTGTAAGTTAATTGAACCTTTCATGGCATACAGGTGGTAGAATACCATTAAGATACAGAAATACTTTAGTTAATTACATTTTTGTAATTATCTGGCTCATCATATTGCAGGTGCTGCGTTGATCAGTGAGGCGAAAGAGAACGGGCTGAGTTTGTAGCCTGTTCCGCTGTAGAACTTATTCTGAAACTCCACCCTGGAAGAAAGACAAAGCGAGGATTAATGAGACAGAAGCTGCAACCCATGGCTCTGATTAGACCGTCCGCCACTGTGACACATATTCACAAGGCAATGTGGAAACACAGCTGACTGTCATTAAAGAGATACAGTGCTTGCATGCAAAGTGAAACATTTTTGCTTCTTTTTCTTTTCATTCTTCACAATCTTACCAGTGCAGACGGAGCGCATGTAGAAAAGCTGAGAGCCCCTCCATGACCAGGAGGATGGAGACGGTCAACACAGCGAAGAAGGCAAAAATCACACTGAGCACAACGGATCCGACATAGTCTTTCCAAGTCAGGGCAATACGCATGACCATGACCCACAGCACCTCTGACAGCTCTGTGGAGAAACAACTGAGTCAGAGTCACAGAGTAAAGGACAAATAAAAATGGCCAGATTTGGTCTAAAGAGGAAAAGCTGTTGTGCGCATCATGCGTCTGTACTAACGTGCGTGAGCCAAACTGAGGGCCCAAAGCCGCAGGTAGGAGGCTGTGTTGGAGATGCAGCCCAAGCAGTACTCAATGGTGTGGATAGCCTGATGCATGAACACATCTGCTGCATCAAACTCCTGCTGTGGATGTAGATCAGATTGTTAAATGAGAAGCACGGGTGCAGCAAAGAAAATTAAGTCTGCTTTATGAATTCAATTACAGTTATCTCCTCTGCAGCCGCTCCTGCCTCCACCTCCCCCTGGCCAGTGTTGACTGAGCCTTCGTCGGCCACCAACGGCCGTCTGTCCTCATCCTGTCATGGAAAGAAAAATCTGATTTAACAAACCAATGACCTTTAACAATCTTAAAAAGAGATTAAGCGCACTAAATCAAAGACTTACTAAGTGTTGCCGCCGTCTTGATTTGTGGGAGACATATTCACACACAGGTTTCCCCAACAGGAGGACAGGGACTGAACACAGAGCCAGAACAACCAGGACCTTCTGCACTATAAGCTGTAAATTAGGAACAAAAATACATTCAACAACAAATAGTCTAGTTGTAATAGTGCATAAAAAATATATCTTCCGGGGGAAACCCATACAGGTCAATAAAGTGAGCAACAGTTGCTCCACTGTTTGCAATTATTGGGTTCATGTGCTCCTTATAAAAGTGGAATCCGGAGTCTGACAGTAATCTGCTTAACAATATCACATTTACAGAACCGGCTTACTTCCAGCAGCAGGCAAAACAAGTAAAGTACAGAATAGTTACAATCTACTTCTAAATAATACTACAATAAAAAAAAAAAAAATCAATTTTATTATATTACAGCCGGTTACTTTTGACTCTTTTAGATTTTTATGTATTAGCCAAAACAAGGTAGGGTACAATTAGGAGGTGAATTGCAAAACGATTCACAAATCTCAATAAAAAAATGTTGATATGTGACAATAATGCACCCCAAAGGCTACAAACGTCCTTCCGAGTGCACCATACCATCATTACGACATGGTGGTGGTAGCGTCATGCTCTGGGGTTGCTGCTTACAGTGGATGGAGCCTGTAAACTGTTGGGTGCTGCAAAATACTTAAAACTGAAGTAAAAGTAACAACACAAAAGAACGTATAATGACCCTAAACATAAAGCCAGGCCTAATGCTATGGTTTAAAGTGTATTCACGTTAGACTGGCCTAGTCAAAGCCCAGACTTAATCCAGTTCAGTCTGATAGAGGTTGAGCCATTTTGCAAGGTTGAAAGAGCAAATGTTTCACTCTGTAAATCTGTAACTTGGAGCTGGAAATCAATGAAAGGGCGGTTCTACCAGTTGTTGACACTAAGGGGGGAAACAACTGAACACCACAAGTTGAAAACTATCTAAATGTGAGAATGCTCAAGGAGTTTAAAACTAAAATTAGTATTTCCCCCTGTGAACCAGAAAAATTGATACATCCAATGTCTTTCTGTGCTAAATAAGAAACAAATTCATGTAGAACGAGCTGCATCACATGTTTGTCTGCTGACACACTGAGCACACACCTGCCCCGTGAACAGCTGGGGGTTCTCTGGGTTGTCTGTGAACAGGAACATGTCTATAAAGTGGATCAGTATGCTGGGGGCGATTCTGGAGTCAGCTGGAGTGTAAACGATCCATTTAAAGACCACCATGAAGACGAGGTACCCGAAGAGGCACAGCATGAAGAACAGCTCGGGGATCAGCACAAAGAATATACTGCTGATCTTCCCAAAGTGCCTGAAGGAAGCAGAGAGAAGAAAGCAAAAATTATTCTGCAGAAAATGAAACTGGGACATAAGGAGATGAGAAGACGACTTAACGGACGCAACAGTGGAGATGAGTTTGGAAGAAATGAATAAATAAAACATGATCACTAACCAGTAGTTAAAGAACGATAAGCAAACCCCAAACGTCATGTGAATGATGCCGACAATGACCGACATCTTCATCTTGTATGAATTAAGGAAGGTTAGTTTGTTGTTCGCCAAACCCCAGATCTGTCAATAATGACAAATAAGGCAAAATAAGATGAAGTTCAAATAATAAAGAGATAAAAAAAAATGAATAAAGAAATCTGAAGACTGTACCGGATCAATCCCGAAGGGATAGGGACTGGTGAAAACCCCGGACACATTAGGATCCAAAGACAAGTACTGGTTTTCCTTCAGCACCAATGAGCTGAAACAGGAAGGTAAGAAATAAGGTGTGGAAACCATGAATTGCTGCAACATTGATAAGAAAATAAGAATAACTCAAATTTTTTCGAGCAAAATAATGACTTATCCTCACTTCCAGATGTTCTTTTCAAACATCGGCCCCACGTGCCAACCAGAGCTGAAGGTTGTGATGCCTCGGCTAAAACACTCGTTGTAAATGGCTCCGGTGTAGATAGAGAAGAGGCCCATCAGCAGGATCAAATAGCGTCCTCCGAACATCATCCTCCAGATCTGAACACAGAAACACTTTTCATTCACAGGCAGAACCTCGGTTTGCACCACTCCATGATTAAAATCTCTTAAAAACAATTACAGCTACTTTCAGGAAGGCAATGCCAACATTTTATAAACATTAGGACGTATGGATGAAACTTAGAAAGGACCAGCTATGACTGCAGGTCGTCACGCTGCTAAAATTTGAAACTTGATATTAATACCCAGAAAATATTCAATACCTTCATTTTAAATAATTCCCTTTTTTAGGTCTACAATTCAATTTCAAATTTTAAAATTGAGATTTCTTTTGTCCCACACATCCGGGTCCTTGTGAAAGAGTAATCGAACACAGATTTACTTCATGTCAATAACTAGCAGCAAAACTCTCATTAAAAGTTTAACATGCATGAGAAGT